TGCTGTAGATGGAGAAGGGGTAGGGGACCCGGTCAACACTATGATCAAATCAGAACGTAGTGTGGAATGTGGTTTGTTAAAGAAACAAATCCCTGAAGTACTCCTTTCAAAAGCATTGCAATTTATCAAATAATCAACTTGTTTCATTTATTTTTGCATGAATGAACATGTCTTTATCTTTGTGTTCCAATCTGGAGGGTGAGGGGAAGAGAAAAAGGGAAGGGAGAGAGAGCCGGGGGAGGGAAGGGAATTGTGGCTCAGGGCAGGCATCAGAGGGGCTGCCTGGAACTCTCTGGAAGGGGCTGAAACTGCAGCCATAGGCAGAATTTCTTCTCCTCAGAAACCTCAGTTTTGCTCTTGAGGCCTTTCAACTGATCGAGTCAGGCCCACCCAGATTATCACGCCTAATCTCCTTTACTTCAAGTCAGCTAACTGTGGATGCTCATCACATCCACAACATCTGCATTCACAGCAACACCTACATCAGTGCTGGATGGAATCATGGGGGATTATCAGTGAGCCAAGCTGACAAATGAAACCATCACAGCTGAGGAGAGGTGGGGCCATTGTATGAGGCCACCAGCACAGTAGCAGTAGAAATCAGTACTTTTCTAATCTAGTTCCCTGTCCCCCAGGGAATGCTGGAGCTTCTCAGGCTTTCAGTGAGGGTTTGTCTAGGGCTCTTTTCACGAGGGCACGCTCTGTCCATTCACTGAATGCAGTGCTTTTCAGCCTCTGTCCGATTCCCTCTTCTTCTTGTCAGTGGGTCTCCCCAGGGTTTGAATGAGAAGCATCTGTGGTATCTTTTGAAGAAAAATAGGCTTGTCTGCTAGGAGTTGCTGACATGGTCCTTTTGTGTGGAGGGAGTATTAGAATTTCTTTCTTAGAGAAAGGTGAGGGAGGGCATGTGGCATTTGCGAAACTCTTCAGTGAAGCTGGTGTGCACAGCTCATCCCTCCAAATACACATCTCCAGCCTGGAGACTTCAGTTCCTTGTAAACCTCTGGACATCTGTCTCCACGCAGCTCTGCATAGGAACCTCAGGCTCACCATGTCCAGAGCTGAACTCATTGGCTTTTCCCCACACCTGTTCCTCCTCCCAATACACTTCAGTGAATGGAGCCTCCAACCTATTGTCATCTAAGCCTTAAACCTGGGACCGTTCTGGGCTCCCCCAGCTTCCTCACCTTCCATAGCCAATCAGCTACCAATTTTGTAGATTCTAGCCCTGAAACTTATCTAGAACCTGTCCTCCCCTCCATCCTCCTTGATTCTGCCTTAGTCTCTCATCATCTCTCTCCTGGGCTAGTGAAATAGCATCCTAACTGGGCTATTGTACCAACTCCAGCCTTAACTTGCACTCCATCTCCTCACAAAACAGGTCATTATCTTCCCTGCTGAAAAGATTCCAATAGCTCCCCATTCTCAGAGGATCATGGCCCAGGCTGCTTAGTTTGATCTACAGCTCCAGAACTGTCTCATATTCTTCCATTTCCTACACTCAGGCCCCTCCAGGAGCCATGGGGAATAATTTGTAGTTCTTCTAACATCCCAGGCTGCTTCACATCCCTTTGTCTCTGCTCATGCTGTTCCCTTTGACTGGAATACTGTTCCATATTCTAGTGACCCACCCCACCTCCTGCCCCACAGACCAGAGCCAATCTGCTTGCTTGGTCAAACCCTCTCATCTTTCAAGACCTCCCTCAAATGTAGCTTCCTCCTTGACGCTGTTCTTGACTACACTTTCATTCCCCTCCTCCATCTTGAAGCCAGAGCCACTGTCAGAACTGACTGTACATGAATGTGACCTCATTGTAAAAATGAAAATTAATGCAGATAAAACAAAAGGCTCTTCTGATTCAGCGCTCCTATTCCCACTCCCCTTTTGGTTATCAGTCCGCTGTGCAATCATTCCAGGCTGTTTTTTTTTAACTAACAATTTATCTTGGAAATATTCCATGTTGAGTGCAAGCGCGTAAGTACATCTCTACACGGAGTATCATTGCCGCAGTGAATTCCGTAGTATGGGTATAATACAGTTTAGTTAACTCTTCTTCTATTGGTGGATATTTCCCCCCCAATATTTTGCAATAATGGTGTCACAATAAATATCATTTTGTGTGCCTCCTTATGCATAAATGCCAACTATTTCTCTTATACAGAGATGCCTAAAAGTAGAAGTCTGGGTAGAAGCTATACATATTTGATTCTACATATTCTTGACATATTTTTGAATTCAGTAGTTCCTATTTTTATGGAGTCAAATTTATCATTTTTGTTTTTGATTTGTGTCTTTCTCAGGAAGACCATCCATATGCCAGAGTTATTTATATATTCTATTTTATATTTTTGTTACCCTGTAATTTTATTTTTTACACTTAGCTGTTTGAGTTATTTAGAATTTAATTTTGTACATGTTCGAGGGTGCTACCTAATCTTCTTTCTTTTTCCAGATTGACTATTTATTGAGTAATAGTCTACTCAACCATGTCTTTAAGTTGAAATGGCATTTTTTATGAACCAAGTTTCTAAATATATTCATGAATCCGTTTCTGTCCTTAGTAGTAGATTTTCTTGATCTCTTTATTTCTGGGTCAATACTGTATTGTTTTGGTTACTATAGCTTTATCATATGTTTTGGTACCTTATAAGGAATCAAATGTATTTTAGCTGTCTGTCTTCTACTAATGTTGATGGATGGGGTTGAGCCATACATCTTTGAATTTTAAAAACCTTTTACATAGTTTGCATCCATGTGTGTTAAAATGATACAAATGAATAAATCAGAAGATTTCCGTGCTATTGATCGTGTACTTTGTGTTCTCAAGGTCTCAAAGATTGTGGCGAAAAATAACTTTTCCAGTCTTTACTTCCTTTTGTAGCTCGGTACCTCAATGGGTTATTTCATAAGCTGCTTCTTACTATTATTATTTTGAATAAGCAATGCATCCACAGTGTACAAAACCCCGAAAGATGTAAAAATGAGAAGCTGCGATACAGCGGAAGTACCTTCTGTTCTGGCCTCCTGGTCTCGGGTGCAGAAGTGAGATGACGAAGGGAACGTCATCCTTTGGAAAGCGTCGGAGTGAGACGCACACTTTGTGCCGCTGATTGGGCTCTAAGGCCCACCATCTTCAGAAGTCGACCTGTGGCAAATGCAGCCACCCTCCCAAGTGAAAGAGGAAGTGTAACTGGAGCGCTGAAGCTGAAAGATGGAGTACCACCGGGACCGGGCGAAGGAGGCGCCTAAGAACTGTACGCTGCAGACTCAGGCACGGACTCCGTGAGGGAAGGGCTCTCTGAGCCCAAGAGGGCAGCTGTTGTGGCATGCAGTTCATCTTAAAGATTTCAACGATTAGTTGTGCAATGAATGTTCTGGTTTTGAAAACTAAAAAAAAAAGTGAGAAGTCTCTCCTCAGTCCTTCAGAAGCAGTCATACTATCAGTTTCTTCTTTAACATTCCAGGATGGCGGCACCCCATCTACTGTGCGCCTTGCTCTTTTTATTTGATGATAAATCTTGGAGATCATTCCATATCAGTCCATATGATGCTCTCTCAAGAGGAGGCTGTGCCATGTTTTATTTCACCAGGATGACCATTCAGTAGTTTTAATAAATACCCTTTATATGTATAAAATTCTCCAATATCTGGAAAAATTTTTCTGCCCATGAAACTGCCCATGAAACGTATTTGAACGTTCAGCTTTGATTCATATCATTAAGTTGTATTCCAGGAAGTTTCTAGAAACTTCCTGAATGAAGACTGTGATGGAATTTGCTCAGACATGTGCTGAGGACCCAAGGGGAACACTGCAAAGGGGCCAACTGGGACCCTGACAGTGAGAGGAACTGTGTATGTGTACATATGTGCATGAATGTGTGTGTGATGTCCACACAGTAAGAAATTCAAGGAAGAACTGTAAGCCAATTAATGAGAGTCCTTTAAAGCTCTAATAATGAGTGCAAGCATTAGTGGTTTGAATAAAGCTCCTTTGCCTTTATTATTCATTAGGAACTGGCAGTAAATAATAGGTTTGAATTTCACAGTCCTGATGCTGCTAATCAAAGCACAGAGCATTTCTTAAGATCATAAATTATTATCCTTCACAACAGTAGCATCAAGGGAATTTGATTTTTATGAATTGCTAACTGGGACACTGGGTAGCCTCCATTTGGGTCTTGAGCTGATTCAAAGGGAAGGAATCTGTTTATTACATCTGGAAGCTGGAACCTGCTCTCACACATTGGGTGGGACCCAATTTCCTTGAACTCACAATATCGTTCTTACCTGGAGTCAGCTGGGGTGAGCGGTCCAGCCCAGATTAAACAGTCATGCTCCATGCTGGCAGTGGGTCATGATATTCAACTGGAAAGAGATTTTTTTTTTCCCAAGCAGGAAGAGGGCTTTGCCAGTGGGGTGTGAGGCTATTTGTGATCTGCCCTCTTAGAGAGTTGGTTCCAGGTGTGGACGGAGTACCTTCCCCTCCCCTCCCCACCTCATCTGCATCTGGTGTGTAATATCTCTCCCCTTCCCTCCACTTCTGCTCCCTCTGTCTGGGGAGACCATCTCTTTCCCTGGTGTGTCTTTCTCCACGCCAAGGGAAAGAAACAGAACACCGAGCTCTCATCCCTTCCTTTCATGTGATAAGGGCAGAAATAAGATGAATCTTCCTCTTCTGCCTTTTCTTCTTTCTACTCTACAATCTCCTCCCTCATTTTTGAAGCTCTTCTGGATTTCTGGTCCCCTGCCTGTGAAAGAAGGGGATGCATCCCTCTGCCTGACCCAGCCTAGCCCAGCCCAGTGTGCTCTCTTCCCTCGCCATGGACTTGGTGAGCAGTCCCTGCGGCTCTTCCTGGGTCAGAGGACCCCAGCATCTCCCTGATGTCACCTTTCAGCGTCTGCTTCTTCTGGCACTTTGAGAGTCAGCGCTTAGCACTGCCAGTTAGCAAGGACAGAGAAGATGTCTTTACATAAAGCACTGGCCAACACCATCATATTTTATGACAAAACTTTATTAGGATTAAGTCAAATTAGAAAACGTCATGCTTTGCCATTTGCCGTATCTACCTGGAATGCCAGGTTATACTTAGCTAAGTATAAAACAGTTTGTGCCCCTGGATTCTACTGTTTGGAAAGCAAGAGAACCCGTGTGCATAGTGGCGTGCCTGACACCACCATGGTCCGTGTTTAAAGCCTGACAACTGGTCAGCAAGCATATGTTACTTCCAAGCTTTGGGTCCCAGGAAGACGCCATTCCTGCCTCCCTCAGACGCAGACTCATCAAAGCCTGGGCATTCGTGAGTGGGGCCTGCTTTCTGGAGTCTAATATTACATCTGTATTTCAAGAGAAGCTGGGCTTGAGGTATCTTAATGGCTTAAAGGCACAGGTCATGCAGCTGAATTCAAAGCTATTGTGTTGGTCTCTCTTCCAAGGGCCAAGAGCCACGCCTCATAAGGGGAGGTGGTCCTGATGCTGCGTCCTTGCCTCCTCCGTGTGGTCCCCACACAACCTGAGCCCTGCTCTTCCCGGTCCTGCCCTGCATTGCTATTCAGCCGTGACAGCTGGGATTGGAGGACAGGTCCCGGCTCCTGCCCGGGGGAGAGTGCCCTGTGCTATGGGATCTCATCACCTCACAGCCCCTAGAGGCACCTGCCGCAGAGCCAGGAAGTGACTCAAATGCAAGGACAGGAAGGCTCATTATTCAGGTGAAACACGGTACTGGGAAGAGAACCCAGCTTTCCCTGGATGGGGTCCTACCGAGGCGGAAAGTGGCACCGTGTTTAGTGCAGAGTGCACCCCAACTGTAGCCAGCCCCTTCACTCAATGGGAAAAGCGGTGTGAAAAGGATGCGGAGGAGAACAGGAGGTCCCCACGCGCCACAGGTTCTGTGAGGCGTCAACAGTGCTGTCGGGCACGTATCCGGGCTCCGCAAATAGCTCTACTTCGTTAAGAGCAAGTGGGAGCCTAGGTTCTAAAAATAGAAAACGTATCACTTCCTGAACAACTGGGCATTCCCTTCAGTTTAGGAGCCACACGTTTAAGCTCAGAAACTCTTTTTCTTATTTTTAAACTCTCCCTAATGAAGGGAATAAAAATCCAAAATCTGAGTGAAGGAGAGCTGCCCACAGACAAGAAACCCCCTGCAGACACAAGCACATCCGTCTCATCCTCCGGCAGCTAGACTCCTGGTGCCCCCGCCCCTCTCCGCTCCCCACCCCCAAGTTCATGAATAAAAATGGCGCTGTCAAAATCTTAAATTCAGTTGCATGATATAGACGGCTGATAATAAATTCTCATTTCTTCAGGCACCAGAGGATACATGTGACAAGGTTTTGAATCTCTCCAATTTATGCCCTCAATACATCTTCCAGCCTCACCTCTGCGCGGCCTCACCAGCGGCTCGTATCCCTCCGCGAGCCTCGCACGGCCTGCGATCACCTCGGCGCTGTTCGTGCCCGTTAGTTCAGCTGGGACTGACCCGGAGTTTGCTGGAGCTTGAGTTCATAGCCTCCTAGGCCCAGGTCCCCCTCATAGATGCTCTCCTTGCTCGGAGTCTGGGGCGAAGCTTTCTGATCCAGACCCAGCCTGGCGGGAGGACTGCAAGGTGAGGGGGCGTGTTCCTGGAAATTCATGGCCAGCTCGTCCTGATTTACGATGCATTCTCCATCGTCCTCTTTCAGCTGCTCCTGGATTTTGGAAAGAGAGAGAGAGGTCACTTCCTGATATAGGCAGAAAACAATAGCCGTCCTACGGTGTACGGAAATAGGATGCTCGTTTTCCTTTTTTAACGGCCCGGTCTTGGCGGAAGTTTCTGCTAGTGCCTATGCCCGCCCTGCATCTCGTGGGCGTGTGCAGCGCTTCCCCGAGTCAGCACTGGGGACTCACATCACTACACGGCCATCAGGGTCTCCAGTCCTAGCTGGTAAGAGAACACGTGCTAACTGAGCGCCTCTGTGGGTTAAGGGAGTTGAAATTAAATGCAGTGGATGCTTTGAATTGGTACCCAATCTGGGTGAGAGGAGTTAGGAGTTTGCAGAATCCTGTGACCTCAGAGCCCCGAATGGTTCTCAGTGTGGGCTTTGTAATCCTCCTGCCTATCACAAAATTCTTAAAGCACAGTTTCTCTTATATTTTCTTTGAACAATAAGTCCTCACAGTATGTTTCTCGGGATGAGGGTCACAAGGCTAAACATGGTTGGAAGTTACCATAGTGGATGATGGTGGAAATGAACCAGGTCTGGCCAACAAGTTCTCCTCAGACAGAGCTTTCCTTGAAGAAGAGAATTAAAATCTCAACCCTTCTTCCACTTGTTTGGGGAAACCCAAACAAAATTACTTGTAGAATGAGCCCTGGTTAGGAGACCTCAGGTCAGTGTTTTCCAAGTTTAGCCTGTACTGGAGTCACCTGGAGGGCTAGTTCAAGTACAGACGCTGGGCCCCTGAGACCGAATTTGCATTTCTAATAAGTTTCCAAGTGACGCCGCGGCTGCTGGTTTGGGGACACACTTTGATGACCACTGCTTCAGACTGTTGTGCCCGGAGCACATCAGAGACTTGAGAGACCCTTTTTCTCTGTTTGTACGAGGGGTCGACCAGCTGGACAACCTCCGAAGGTGCCACAAACTCCAAGACTCTGCCCCTCTCCAATTCCTGGCACTCTGATTTACTGGTAATGAGTCTAATTGCTTCTCAGTGGTTTTTTTATTCCACTCCCTTGAGCTACAAAGCACAGGCTTAATAGTCAAAACCTCAAAACACAGCAGTTTGTGAGGACACATGACTTCGTTTATATTTTCAAAATCCATTTTATGGCTAAAAATATTGGTCACCATAAAAAAATCTGCATTCTTAAAAGAAGAATGAGCCCACATCAGCTACAACTGGAGAGAGAAGAGAAATGCTTCTTGGTGCAGCGAATTTTAAAACTCCTTCCTCCTCAAGCTGGGAAGTAACAGCCTCGAGGTTGCTGGGCTCATCCGTATTCACCAAGCCTGTCCCCCTCGGGACAGTTACTCACCCCGTAGGCCTGAGGACTGGTGAGCAGTCTGGAGATCGGGCTGCACCACTCAGGTAACGTTGTGGTCAGTGGAGGACCAGAGTGGGTTAAAATCGGTTTCAGGTATCTGCGAGGCCTGTTAAGGAATCCTTGCCGGAAGGAAGGTGGGGTTTAGTTTCTCACACAGCACTAACATTTGCATGCAGTGAAAGGAGACACTCATTCTTACCTCAACATCCCTACTCCCCCTTGTAGGAGGTAATTTGGCCTGCAAAAATTGCTATTTATAATCTTGGCTCCACACACTTTCCCAGCTCTCCTGGTAGCCTTTCATCATGGAGAAATGGAGCCCGGACTAGCCAGTATCAGAGAGATGTGGAAACGGTCCTCTTCCCTCCCCTTCTCCCACTCTGTCTCATCTGCTTAGAGAATGCATCCTTAAGCATTATCTTCAACAATAGCATAAAGGATTGTGTTTTCTTAAAACTGCACACACAGCTTAAACCACCAGTAATTTTCACCAAGAAGCAAGAGGCATTTCATAAAATGTTCAGTCGTTCTCGAACTGGGTAGTGAACAGAGAATGCCAAAATACTTTATTTTCCCCATTGAACACAGTCGGTTTATACTTCATACCTCAGTGCATCCCGATACAAAATGTATGTCAATAAGCCGGTGCCAGGTTTATCCTATTGTCTGTCTTTCTCATCTCTTCATCCCAAAGTGCTCTAACAAGTTAAAAGAAAAACCTGTCCGTATAAAGCCATTATGTCTCCCTCCGATCTAGCAATAATGAAATCCCTAGAGGCTGCCTCAGGTGGCCTTAGTCCTTTTCTTTTTTCCCTCAAAGAAAAGTAGTGAAATTATTTCACTACTCTTAGGCTTTATATAATTTCCTCTGCTGGAGAATATTTCACCTCATCAACTTTCTGAAATGCTGTAATAAATAGGGGAAGGGGAAAAAAATGGAAAGAGGTTAATGTTGGCTTGTGGAGATACAGTCACCCCCCAGGCACTCAAGACAAGAGACTATCTTGGAGGTGGTGCTGCTGGAGCTGCTCCACATCTGGACAGTGCCACTCCGTCATCCCCGGGATGCCCTGAGTGTGTGGCTCAGAGGGCGGATGCAGCCCACAGCAGCAGGAAGTCTGGTTGCCCCTGGATTCAAACCCACTCACCATCACAGTGGGGACAGATCAGGAGAGGCTCCTGAACGTAGCCTAGTTATGTTGAGAGCACAGCAACTAAACAGACGCTTAAGAGGGTCTGTAATTCCAACTGCAAATGGAATACTTGATAACTCCTTTCAGATGAGCAACTGTTGTGCTCAGTTGAGGACCGGGAAGATATTAAAGTTCAGAGCCTGGCATTCCCTGGAACATCTTGTAAGTATTTCTACAACTCTGGAAAGTTGATGATTTTCCATTAATTTTGATTATAGAGTGTTATTTCCTTCATTTGTTGGATAAAGGAATTGAGGCCTAGGGATGTGATGATTTTAAACAATCCAAAGTCTCCCTTTGCTATTTGAATCCGCCTTCAGCATCTCCCAGCAGAAGGTGATTTTTCAGGGCAGAATCATGCGCTTGTCCAGCTGGTCCTCTGGAGAGAGAAGCTTGCAGACCTCACCCCTGCTGGTGAGCTGCGGACCCTTTCAGCCCGGGGCACAGGAGGACATGTGATCTTTTTTTTTTAGTTCCCAAATCAACTGACTAATTTTTTTTTTTTTGCTTTTTAAAAAATTTTTTTTAAATTGAAGTATAGTCAGTTACAATGTGTCAATTTCTGGTGTTCAGCACATATATTCGTTTTCATATTCTTTTTCATTAAAAGTTACTACAAGATATTGAATATAGTTCCCTATGCTATACGGAAGAAGTTTGTTCTTTATTTTATATATAGACATGTAGTTGTCTCAGGGTTTATGGTGGGCATATCAGGGGAAAACATTTTTTACGGAGGTGAGGCAGACAAGATACATGTACAACTGGAGTATAAATCAAAGAAAATCCTACCAACTTTATCTCCAGATAGAAAAGCGACAGCAAGTAAGCAACATGTTTAGAGACGTTGTAGAAACAAAAACGAAGGGGTTTGTCAGGGCGCTAAGAGTTAGAAAGGCCCTGGCAACTTTCCCGGCTTGAGGTACTTAATACACTGAAATATCAAAATGCCAAAATAATACTACAAAAGTAAAACACAAATTTAAAACTGTGTAATGAACATTTTTTCTTTTAATCCTGAAGTGATAACTCTGTGTGTAATGTTGTCAGAGCTAACAGTGAATGACTGACTTTAGCTTTTTGTGAATGTGAGGGCTGGACCAAGCCGGCTACCATTTGTCCTCCTCTGGACAGGCTCTGTGATTTCTGAACTCAGCCGGCAGCAGGAGATCCCCAGCCTCAGCCTACTTAAAAGGCTAAAAGCATTTATCAACCTGACTTTAAACTGTACAAGTTTTTCTCTAGAGCTATTTCCCACAGAACACCTTCTTATGCATCCTTTGTTCTAGGTACAAGAATATTAAGAGAGTCCCAAAGCTGGAGGTGAACTTCATACCCAGAAGAGGGAAGGGGACCACTGCATCTGCAAAAGCAAGGACAACTTTGCAAAAATTTGTTACTGTGTACGTGATCTCTATAGAAACTAGCTCTGCCCCTTGAACTCTTAAACTTTCCCTATAAAAACCCCTGCCTTCTCTCCCCAGCAGAAATAAAGCTGCCTTTTTCTACTTCATCCAAAACTCTGTCCTTGAGTCTCAATTCAGTAAGTGGGGTACAGAAGCTGTTTTTATTTTTGGTGTAGCAACACTACACCAAAAAATAGCAATTTGGGTTAAATGTTGTGTAGGGAGCTAGTGTGAGGTGGTAGGTGAGAGGTGGGGAGAACCTGTTCATGTAAGACTCTTCTAGAAAACTCATGATGCTATTCTGGCTGCCCTGGTATCTCAGTAGCTGTGAGTCAAAGGAATAAAACATACACTGTGAGACAGTGAACGGATTGCATAAGCACCATCCACAGACGCGGCAGGTGTGGGGCAGAGTCCGTTTTCTCCAATGTCTTGGTTTTCCCAGTGCTTGCCATATATTATGGGCTCAATGGATCTTTGTTGAATGTATGACTGAAACTAGCACTGTAAATTGACTACACTTCAATAAGAAATAAGAATAAAAATTTAAAAAATTTAAAAAAGAAGAAAAAAATATTCAGGAGTGCTATGAGTGATGAAGGTAGATTCTGAGTATGCCAAGAATGAAGGGGGCAGATTTACAGCCAATGAATGAGGTTCTCCTGAGGGTAAAAGGCTAAGAAGTGCCAATTCAAAGATGGACTTCTTAGGCCTAAGTTATTAGACAAAGGGGATGATGTGGTAATGGCACAGAATAAAGTGGCTAAAAACAACTTTTATGTGTCACTCACTCAGTCACTCACATGTTCCTGCATACGCTCATATGTTTCTGTTTTATGTGCTAAACTAGTGAGGCATCCACACAAAGAAATGAACAATTATATTATAGAATAGAAAGCTCCCTTGTCTCCAGACAGTGGTTTCTTTGAGGGCAGGGCTGTCTCCTTCACCTGGATACAGTGCTTGGTGCATTTTGGATGTTCAAGAAAAAGTTGTTAAGTGAATGAAGACCACAGGCTCAGAGACAGTAAAAGAACCGCTCAGAGGAACCCAGCCAGTTAGTTATCGGCCGAGCTGGGCCCCAGACCCCAGACATTTCCACCACTTTGGGCGTCCTCCTTCTGCATAGAGACATGGAACAACAGGTCTTATCTGACTGAATAACTGATTTGGAATCCAGGAATTCGTGACTTTCTCGTTCTTCACTACCGAGCAGTGTCTGGAAAGTGGCTGGATCTCTAGGTTTACCTGAATTATTAAAAAGTAAGAAGACTCTTTTGATCTCCAAAAAACCCCAACTGCCAATTTGGCAAAATGTGTAATTTTTCTTATCAGGTTCCAGTGTAAGTTTGGAGAGAGAGATTCCCCATTGGATATTTTTGGTACAGCTAGTTTTGCTTCCCTAATAAGCTAGAAATGCATTGAGATGAAATGTTAAGCTCTGGGGGAATAAAACAATAACTTTTCTCATCTTTAAAGGGCATAAGTTTGGAAATAACAGTTTGGTTCAGGAGATGTAAGTAAACACTGGAACTCTACCTGGAATTTAACACGTGTGAAATAGGGAAGACAATTACCTCAGGCCAAAGGAGAAGGTGCGTTGCTATCAGCAGGTTCAGAACTAAATTCAGTGCTTAACTGAACTAATGTTTAAAATATGCAGTAACATTAATTTCTTGTTTTTGTTTTGATTAAATCCTTGTGTTTTGTCGATTGTAAGCTGCCAAAACAATTGGGTGCACAGCTTGCTCATGCCTATGCCTCGTATGACATGGTCGCACATAGACTGGTGATATGCAAAAGCCCCAAGCAAAGATCCGTGCCCTCTACTGCGCACTGAATGTTTGTGTTCCCCCCAAATTCACATGTTGAAGCCCTACCCCGCAGTGTGATGGTATTTGAAGATGAGGCCCTTGAGAGGTAATTAGGGTTAAAAGAGGTCATGAGGGTGGGACCTCCATAGAGGGATTAGTGTCCTTGTAAGAAGAGACTCTCTCTCTACCTGTCCACAGAGAAGGGGTCATGGGAGCTCACAGTGAGAAGGTGACTGTCAGCGAGCCTGGAAGAGAGTTCTCAACAGAACCTGACCATTCTGGCACCCTGACCTCAGACTTTCAGCCCCCGGAACTCTGAGAAAATAAATTTCACTGTTTAAGTCACCGGTCTGTGGTATTTTGTTATGACAGCCTGGGCAGCCTAACACACCCCTCTTGCTGGTCTTCATAAAAGTCGTTGATTTGAGAACCCTAAAGAGCTATGTTGTATCTTGGCTTTCTCTAAACTTGTCTGATCATGAAGATAATCTTGGCATCTGTTAAAAATTCAGATATCCAAGTCTTCCCCTGGAGAGTCTGACTTGGCAGTTCTGGGAAGTAGCCCTGGACTCTGTATCAGAGTTCCTATATTTCAAGTGTCCCAGGTGACCGGTGATCAGGCAAGTATGGAGCACAGTGGTCTCTCTCCAGTGTATTGCCCTCCATGTGGGACTCAAATCTCAA